TGTGTGTGTGTGTGTGTGTGTGTGTGTGTGTGTGTGTGTGTGTGTGTAGGCTCTGAGATGCTGCCAAACAAAGCAACCCTTCTTGTGCTGTTACCAGACTAAGAGGAGTCAGGTTCCTGGGCTGACCCTCTTCTCTCCTCTCTTCTGTAAACTATGATTGTTCAAACTGGGCTGCCTTGTTCCCATTGCCAGAAAGAATGCTCAGCTGAATTTAATAATTCCTTCCAACATCTCCTCAATCTAGAAAACTCATTCTCTAACAAACTCTGCTGCAGTGGGCGCCAACGCATCTTTGGGGTGGGGATCACTCGAGCGGCTGCGCCCAGAAAGACAATGAACTCTCCCATGCTGGCAAAGTCATGGGGCTTAGGACCTTGGGGAAAAAATAAAAAACACAAACAATTAAAAAAGAAAACTCAACAAGTAGATATGAAAGAATGAACTTTGTTATTATTAAAGGCCATTTGAGTTAAATCAACGGGAGTTCTTAATTTGGTATCTGTGAACTAAAAAAAATGCTGATTGTATTTCAATATAATGAGCATCTTTTGTAAATCTACATATTTTGTGTTTTCATTATTTATTTATTCTATATTATTTATGTTATATATTATTATGGTTTATTCTGAGAGGAAGGGTCCATAGACTTCATCAGCCTGCAAAAGGGGACCCATGCCACACAAAAAGGTTGAGAATATTTGGTTTAAAGGAGGCTGTTGATATTTCTCTAGATGATCTTATGACTAATGAAGCCTTCTTGAAGGCCCAGCTCTGCTCTGGGGTCCAGGGCTCGGTGGTGGCATCTCTCTAGCTCTTTTTATGATAACATTTGCCATGGGAAGCTGCCCATTTTTTTCCAATATGTGAGCAAATGAACCACATCCTCATGGAAATAAGTGAGTGTCTGGAATGAACAAGGGTAGCTGATGGCAGATCCAATTTGTGTGAGGATGCTAAATATTAATTTGCTTTCCAAGTGAGAAAGAACCACTCCTGCGCCCTTTTAGATATGTCATACTGCAAGGAGCAGTCTGCTTAACCATATCTTCATATGGTTTTAGAGACTTCCAGTAAAGGAAAGAGTCCAACCCCCTGCCTTTAGTTCTCATCTGTTCTCACAAATTACCATTTGCTCACTTCTTTAAGTGTTGGGAAGAATTTTTGCTGGGTGAGTAGGAAGGAATGTTGAGTTCACACTGGTTAGATTTTTGGTGCTTACTTTAAAGCATAATCATGGTCAGTGAACAGAAATGGAAACCTCTTTGATTCTTACACATGAAGGTCTGAGTCCTAGGGAGGTTAAGTGATTTGTCCAAGGTCGTACAGGTGTGAATAACAGAATCAAAACCTGATTTGAACGATCCGAATTCAGCACTTTTCTCACTGCTCCTTGGGATCTCCAAAGGAAATAAGTTTGAGATCATGCTTCTGCATCCCATCCAGCACTTAACAAAAACCATGGTATGGATATTGGTTTACAGTTATGTCTTCTGCCTTCTCAAAGATGTAGTTTAAACAGGATGTGGTGACACTGGCCCATTATCCCTGCCCCTGGAGAGGTTGAAGCTGGTTGAATTCTGATCTGCAGTGGGCAAAAAAAAAGAGTTTCCACAAAAGAAGTTTCTTACCTCCCCTAAAAAATCATAGCCACCCCTTAGGACAGATCGTACAAGGTATCATTAAACTCCATTTTACAGAAAAGGATATTGGGGATCAGAGGAGGCAAATGACTGGTAGATAATTAGGCAAGATGCAAAATTAGAGGAGGGCTGAGGACAAAAGGGAAGACCACTGGCTTTGGAGTCAAAGGGCTAGATTCAAACATGTTTTCCAGTTGGTATCTATGTATCCTCAGATCCTTTCCTGTTCTAAAGCCGTGATTTTATAACTCTAAGTTCAATCTCTATTCTCTTTGCAAAGTTGACTCTATTTAGGAATAAAAATAATTCACTTTAGTATGGTACTTTACGATTTACAAAGTTCTATAATTGTAGCTTTTCATGTGATAATTGCAATTAGGTCTTGATTATTCTGCATCACAATACCCTGAAGGGGTCTCATTATTTGAATTTACACCAAATATTTCCAATGGGCTAGCACCAATGGCCATATGTTACATAATTATAACTTCAAATCTGCAGATTTGAATACATTCTACCTCTTCAGGGAATTCTTATTTCCACTAATCAGGGCCTAGGTGTACACTGAGGATCCTGTGAGACAAGAAGTACAAAGATTGTTATCTTTATTCTATATATAAGTAAACAATCAGTCATTCAATAAGCATTCATTAAGCACCAATTATGTTCAAAGCCAATGAGGTAGGTGCTAGAGATCACATGGTGGTCAGGAGAAGCGATACAAGGACACTCTCAAGGTCTCTCTTAAGAACTTAGGAATTGATTATGTGACATGGGAGAGACTGGCACAGGACCACTCAGCATGGCATGCCCGCATCAGAAATGGTGTTATGCTCTATGAGCAGAATTGAAACAGATCAAGGGAAATGCAGGATGCACAAATTTGGAGAATCCACCCTAAATATTCACGTGGACTATTTGTGTCCGGCCTGTGGTGGAGCATTCCAAGCTCGTATTGGTTTGATCAGCCACATTTGGACACACTGAAACTTGACTCTAGCATAGTGATGTCCTCTTCAAGAACAAAGGACAACAACTAACCAACCAGAGATATATATGTAACCCCTTGGTGGTGCTGTCTGGCCGGGTTTGGAAGTGCAAAGCAGAAACAAAAAGGAAAACCCACTCCTGATGAGTCCCACCTTTGGAATTTTGGGCATGACCACTCTTTTCTGGGACAATGTCCTTTTTCTCTCACTTACTCCTCCGTTATTTCCCTAATTGCTTGGGGAGAAAACAATAGGGATACACAATATGGTTCACACATACCTATCTTCCCCTCATCATGATACTTGGCTCAGGTTTTTAGCTGGCAGGGCACAAGACAAACCTTAAAACTAGTTTAAATTCTGCTTTTGAGAAGCTTATAAAAATTACTAATAACCAAAGTAATAAGGTTCTCTCTCCTAGCTGAGAGCCTTCAAGCTAGGATTAAAAACAAACAAACACAAAAACCTAGCATTTTAGGGATAGAGGTTTGACCTCTGTCTTTTCTTCCGGACTAACCCCAAGCCTTTCACTTATCTCTTCTGTTCTAGAACCCCTATTCTCAATTAAGTATAAACACATATCGCAAAAATGTTATGATCAGTTATAGTTTTATATTTTAAAAAAATCACAAATTTGGAATATCTTAACATAGAGAAATTAAGAAGTAAATCTCTGCCACCTGTAGTCAGAGAAGGTTCAAAGAAGGATGGCATTATGGGGGTGGTGGTGGCGGTGGGTTGTCATTTCACTAGCTTTTTTAGGTCTCTGAGAGAGGCTATGGGTCGAGTTTCACTCCATTTAGTCACATCTATTAGAGTTTTTTCTAAGAGGAGGTTGTTGTTTTTGGAGCCAAATTTGCACTGCCCAGATTCTAGTCTGTGGCTTCACATTGCATAACGTCTGCTGGAACTTTTCTCTTTCTTTCCATCCAAAGTGTACACTAGTCCTCTTTAACCTTTGAAATCTCCAAGATTCTCCTTGCACACAGCAGTTTCCTGGAAGTCTATGCATCTAGACTACCTACAGGGAAGTTGGTCTCAATTATCAGTTACACAGAGACTAAAAAGAAAATGATTACTTACCTTAAGGAGCTTACAGTCCATGGGGGGAAACAAAATGTGCACGAGGCCCAGGGCCACTCTTGGGTCAGCACTCACATGGACTCGGGTTGATGCCTGGGACGTGACTAGGTGAGTAAAGTTCTCTAGAAAACTCTCTAAATATATATCTTGGTTATGGCTGATGTTAAGGTTTTCCCAAACAATCCCCAGTCCCTTCACAAACTCTCCATGTACAACATGGGCATGAGCATAGGACAAATTTTATTTCCCCTATGGCAGGAAATGAATAAAATGATAAAGAATCATAGGAACCATGAACAAATATGGAATCATAAGCATGCAAATAAACCATTAGCTTCCTCCTGGAAAGAACCCTAATTTTGGTACCATTCCTTATTGCGGGGACTCTTTCTTTCCTTTAGCATCCTACAAAGTCTCTTCAAGAATTGTATCACCCTGAGGTTTAGACTATCCCCTGGCCCCCAAAATGGAAACATATTTTGAGAGTTGCTAAATAAGCAGGCCATTCTTATTGGATCCATACTGTCTGTTTAACTTGCTAGCTTTGTTCTGTAAGTGATGAGCTGCACACCAGGCCCATGACAACTTTTCCCTTTATAACCTGGGTTTTCTGCCAATCCTGGAACACTTTTCATGAGGCTCTTCTAATTGCTGGCGAGGAGAATGGCTTAGCACGGTGTGTCTGTTTGAGGGATGCCATTACTTTGAGAGCTTTTTCTCCACCAATTAAGAGAGTGCCGTGAAAAATGACCCAGGCTTGGTTGAAAATCTGAGCCGTACCAGGGAGGTGCCAGAGCAAAGGAGAGAAAGTTGGTTGTTAAATTTTCAGCGTGAGCTAAATTTACACCTCAGAAATCGAATATCACTACAAATCAGGGCTTGAGATTTTGTTTAATGTTTGCCTGGGCTTAAGAAAGGAATGGAGAAAATGCTAACAATACAGATTGAACTTAGAAGAGTCCACTGTACATATATAGATATAATACATACACATATCATATAATTATGTATTAATAATTTACATACAATATATAAATACAGAACTATATATTAATATAATTTATATATAAAGCAACTATATTTATATGAATATAATTTCTACATATAAATATATAGAAACTATATTTATATTGATATAATTTATATAAATGTAAACAACTACATATAAATTTAATTTATACATATAAATGTATAAAAACTACATATAAATATATAGAAACTATATTTATATAAATATAAAGGGCATATTTATATAAATATGATTTCTATATAAATATATGGACTATACTTATATAAATATATACATACACACAGATACACATGCACATAATATACATGTACATACATACACATATATGTATGCGTGCATATGTATATGTATATATGTGTGTGCATACACACACACACACACACACACACACACATATATATGATACCTGGTTGTTAATCATTTGCCAGCATACCACTAGTTCTATCTTATTTCTCCAAGTAGCAGCCTGCTTCAAGAATCCTTTTTCTCTCCCTGGAAGATCCAGAGCTTTTGCAACACAGAACTCTCAAAGCTGGGGTCACTATGAGTCAACTACCAAAGCTAGAGCTGCCCAGAGAATGTCCCTTCAGTGGCTAGAAGGTTAAATTCCAGGAGCCTGGTGCCGCTAAGT